TCTCTCTCTCTCTCTCTCTCTCTCTCTCTCTCTCTCTCTCTCTCTCTCTCTCTCTCTCTCTCTCTCTCTCTCCAACACTAACAGATGTGATAAACATAAACACCCTAAGTATCACACAAACACACGCACACTAAACTTGACACATACACACATATACTTCTTTTTTTCATGCAACAATCACTTTACTTTTAAGCCTCACCAATAAAGCCTTCTTTACCAATCCAGCATATACAAGCTACAGGTTGCACACCCATATCCTCACGGTAACTCAATGTGGATTGTGTGTTGTGCGTTTGCAGCCCGTCAAGGTTGCATTTTATGCCCTTGAGACCTTTAACGTCAATTTAACTTTCAACGTTCGTTGTTGTTCAAGGGGGTGCGCAATTTTGATGTGAGGGCTTAGCAAGGGGCGAGGAATGCGAATGACTGATAGTTACCCATAGGAGGCAAAGGAGGCCGCGGTCCTTGAGTTTGGCATTTCAAAATCGAAATTGCATGGGAGGCTGAGGAGGCCACGGTCCTTGAGTTTTTAACATTTTTAAATCGAAACAGTATGGGTCCACTTTTCTCGAATAGAAGAGTATTTCCAACAAAACACATGCGCTTTGTATTCGAATAGAATATGTACCTTTTCTATTAAGCCTACTTTTTTAGATTAACATTCAAAGTCTCGGGGAAACTAGCAGCGAAAGAAAATCAGAAAATAAAGGAAAACACCGAATTCATGAAAACCTAACAAAACGACAAAACCTAACATTTTTTATAGAATGAAAAACTACAACATCAAACTGTTACTTTTGATACATAAAAAATAATATTTTTAATTGTGTCCTGAGAAAGGATGCAAAAAAAATGGCAAAAAAGTCTAGCAATTCTTAAAATATGCAAGAAAATCATTTTTATTAAAGAGCGTGTTATAGGACTATAAATTGTTCGCAGTAGATTGACAAAAAACAAAGCGTAAACAAGACAATCTTTAAAAACTCAAAATATGTATAAAAAAAAAAACAGTTTTAGTGAATACTCATTTATAGAACTATAAGTCATTTTCAGTACTAAATAAGAACCAAAATCTGTGAAAACTAATTTATAGATCTATAAATTATATAAGTCGTTTTTTGAGCCTACTGTAAAACCCTTATAAAAAAATATATGTTATGTAAAAGACGAATTCAAATAACTTTTGTCTCGGAAACATCTTCAAATTCTTAACCAACAACGATCTAAAATAAAGAAATGATAAAATATTTTAATAAAAAATAATATATTCGTCCATGTATGAGAGAACATATTCAAGCGAACGTATTCGTAAAAAAAACAATATATTGCGTGTTTGGGAGAACCTCCAATACGTTCATCGGGTTGCATACCTTAAAGAATTATAAATATGATTTCTTTAGATAAAGAAAAAATATATATATTTTGGTTCATGAAGAAACAATGTTTTGGAAGGTAGTGATTTTCTGTAAAAAAACCTGCTTTTGTCCTCACCACTTCGAGTGGGTTTGAAAAAATAGTTTTTTATTCCATTTTTTACGGATCTTTAACTTCACCTAGAATTTTGTTGATGTAGGAGGCCTGAAAAACGTACTATGAGAATCTTTGAAAATTTTCGAGCAAACCTAACAATTTGTTGTGTCAGGTTTTCACGAATCCTATGTTGGAATTGGAAGCAGCAATCATCATCATTTAAACAAATCTATGTAATAACTCCACATCCACAAAATATGAAGAGCTACTATCTAGAGCTAACACAGAACTAGCCAACTGAAATTCCTCGAAAACGAACGGTATGCTCAAAGTCAGGATAAGAGAATGGGAGAAGGGTAAAAAATGATAAAATTATTTTTCTATAAAATCAAGGCACGTGGAAGGAACTCAACTAAAAGGAGAGGAAGACCTAGCTTCCAATCCAACAAAGATGCTCTCCATAGTCGAATCCTTCTACAAAGAGTTGTACACTTTCAAGACATAATAACCTACCCCTAGAAGGGTTCGTCAGGCTAGAACAAAAAATTATCATGTACCTAGATAAAACTATATCACACATCATGGGAGAGGAACTAGACCAACCAATCACAAATGAAGAAATTAAAAAGTCATGAATTTCATGAAGCCAAGAAAAAGACTAGGCATGAATTTCATGGGTCACTCTTAGGAGATGAATATTGTCAGTTCATAAGAATAGCATGGACCAATGAAAACCTAGGCCTAACACTTAGCACCAGTATAGTCACACTTCTCTACAAAAATGACGACCCAACAAATATCAGAAACTATAAACCAATCACTGAGACTTTCTATAATAATGCACGAAAACAATGGGGGTAGGACTTAACTTTAGAAAATTGTTAAGAGTCATCTACAACGATGCAATGGGGGCAGTATAAGTCAATGGTCACATCTCTAACACATATAAAGTGTCCCGTTCAGTTAGACAAAGTGATCCACTGACAATCCATATCTTCCTTTTCATCATGGAAGTCATAGCCTCATTTTTAAGGAAAGACCCTTTCAGCCACAGACTCACTGAGCAGACAAAACAAAATTCGCAAAAGTACTACAACAGAAAAATTCCCACAAGAAATGAAAGTTGAAAAAACATTCAATAAAAAAAAAAAATCCTTCATATTTATAAATTATCAT